TAAATAATTAAAATGATGAAAGAAACTTCTAATCATTATTAAAGGAACAATCATTGAGGTACCGACGTAATGACTTTTGGGTCAAATATAGAGTTGGAGGCATATAAGCTTTAGAAGGGTACTTAAATAATCATTCTAAAAGTTTATAGGCCGAATATCGCTATTAAATCCAAGAACGGTGAAAAAAGTTGAGTTAGACATTTAGTCGGTATTGTGATCTAAAAGGGTAAAAATTATAAATTTGACATTTTGGGAATAATTTGGTTTGAATTTTTATAGAACTCATAGAATTAAATGTTTTTAGCCTAAAATAACATTAAAAATGGATCCAGAACGTCGAAAAACCTTAGGGTAGTCATATGGATCAAATCGGAGAAGTTTTGGGACAAAACCGTAATTTTGAAAAAAATACATTTTTTTGGGTCATGTGAACAGTATCCGACGTGAATTTCAGCCTTTATAACCCCATTTTCACCTCTATTTCTCTCATTTTTCTCACACCTCTCACTCAATACTACTCCATAAACCTTAGAATTAGAGAGAGAAAGAGAGAGGAAGAGAGAAGAAGGTCATTAGAGCTTGAGCTTTTGTTTGAAAACTTAGGAACATTATTTGGGATTCTTGAATTCATTTGAACATTTGAAGATGGTGCTTGGGTTCTTGGGTTTTGAGGTAAGGTTTTCTTTTCTCTTGCATATACATTGATGCATCTCATGTATGTTCTATATCTATTTATTTAGTATGAGCTAAATACATGCTATGAGTCTTAATTAAATGATGAATTTACTATGAATTTATAAACCTACATGCATTAAATGAATTTGAGTATTATGGGTTTGAAACCCTAACTTGATTTTTGTTAAGAGTGTTCGATTGATAAGATTTTGGATTTTTTAGAATAACTGTGATTTTGTATATAATATATTTGATTTGTCTCTTAAGAATGAGTATGTTACTTTGTAAATGTGTTTTTGAAAATTTTATACCTGTCATGTGTTTGATAACATGCCAAAGTGACTATAAGTATTGAAATGATAAATTGTGGAAAGAGATATTAATTTTTATGATATGATTGAGTATATTTTATCATAATTTTTGGTATTGTTGAGTTATTTTAAAGTATGGAAAGGGTGGTGTTGATGTATATAACTTCTCAATCATTTAATTTACAAAATTTGCTATAAAAGGATACAAATTGTATTTTTCGGAGTGTGTGTAAGTTATTTTGAAAATGTGTTCTGTTAGAAATGGAAATGTGAGACTTTGTAAAACTATGTATTTTTTTTTTAAAGTGTCGAAATAGTGGTTGGTGTTGAGAATGAAAGGTGATCATGAAATTATGATTTGAAACTTATATGCTCGATACCGATAAGCAGAGGGTTAGTAGACGGTTGGGGCCCTTAAGGGGGGTTACCAAGGTGACTACTAGTCCTAGGGGGGATTGGTGATGGTAGTGATTTTCGGTGACAGCCTGTGTGGCATCACAAGTTATGCCCTACACATCCCCCCTAAAAAGCAAGAAAAGCGATGAGACCTTAGGGTGCAAGACCCAAAAGGTTCCCCGGGGATGGTTCATTTGTGAACCGATGTTTGTTGATGATATCTGTCCGTATGGGTAACATAAATGGATTTTGGGTGCCAAGAAACCAATAGACCAATATTCCAACAAACTTCTTGAGTGGGGGTGAGGTAAGGTGAGGTTGAGGCGAAAGTACGTGGAGTTAGTATTTTTGAAAAATTCTCTAAAAGGAACAAGTTTATAAAATTGTGTTCAAAATAAGAAATGAGTACTTTACTAGATTTGTTATACATATACTTGTTTAAAGATTTCTCATTTTGTACTTTATAAAATCAATGGTTTTGCATTATGTTTTAAGAAGAGAGGTTTTATAGGGTTATTTTGAGATTTGATTACGATGTGGTAATATCCTTAATGTTTCACTTATGTATTTCAAATGATACTACGTAATATACTTTCAAAAATGCTTACTACTTATCGTGTAACTAAACTTATTGATAAATTATTTCTTTACCTATCAATATGATTGTGAACTGTTGGTATTTAAAATCTTGTATATGTTTGAGAAAATGATTATCCTACTGAGCGTGTGGTTGCTCATCTCTATTATTTAATATTTTCAGTTATAGGCATATGTTGGTGGATTGCATAGTGGGAGTATCGAGATAAAAGATAATTGTTATGATTTAGTTAGAGTATGTAAAGAACAATGTATGATGATGTATATTATTGAGGATTTCTAAATTATTTATATCTTGATTAATTTGAGAGAATATGTATAGATTGAGACTTTGTAATTGGTTTACTTATAAAGATTTTAGATATTCTATCTATTATGTTCATGATGAAGAATTTTGGATAATTAGATTGTAGGTCAGGTTTGGGAGGACTTCGTGGGCCTCCATTTGCCACCCCGATATTGAATGGTAATGACTTATTTGTGGATATCATGAGAAGGGATGTATATGATTGATATGATGTGAATGACTAGTTAGGTATAATTATTATGTTTAATGCTCTCACAGGTAGCTCTTACAAATTATCTAGAAGCCCAATTTTCAAAGGAAACTCTACCAAAATTTTCTAAAAAAAAAATGATTTATTTAAACTAAAGAGATACTTTTCTAGATGTTTTTACAACAAACCGGCATGTGTTTTTTGAACAAACAAAGTAATTTTTTTAATCACAGTTATGTGAAATTTGGGGCGTGACAATATTAATGTTCAATATTACTATTTTTTATTTTTGAATGTTAGTATTTTTTTTTTGTGTTAAAGTGGTACTATTTTATGTATTTGAATGTTACTATATATATGAGAGAGAGAAATAAATAGTCCTACTGTACATATGCATATAAATAGATATAAGAGAGAGAATTTTAGTGTTAGAAAAACTGCTAAAATTTAGGAGTTTTTAGTTTCTAAATTTGTTTTAATTAAATATAACTAATGAGAGTATTTTTGACAATAAAAATCAAACGAAACTGAATATTAAATAAGTTTTCTTGATGGACTTATCACCATATAAGTCCATAAAGGGAAACCGGCCTCTAAATTTCCTAATTTAAAACCTCGCTTCAAGCCTTGTTTTTTTCGAATTAGGTTTAGGTTAGCCCGCCCAAATTGCACCCATAATTTTTAAACTTATTTCCTAAATTTAAATACTTTTCTAAAAGTGTTTTTAAAAACATCGACTCAACTAATATTTTTAAAAGTCTAGCAAAGGCCGAAAGAATACTCTCTAAGTCACATAGAGCAAGAGCGGGAGTGAAAGAGGGAGCATGAGAGCAGAAAATTTTAAAAAAAGTTTAGAGTAGGTGCGACTTGAGAACGTCATAATTTATGCGTGCATACATAATTATATATATAGAAATTAATAAAAAATATAATTAAAAAGATAAATTCTAATTTTTATACAATAAATTATTTAAATTTAATTAAATCAAAAAGCATTTCTTGTTGGAAAAAAAAATCAGAAAGATTTGAAAGGCATATTTATGCCTAAGATATGATCCCATGTGGGATAGGCAACCCACCAACACTTGCCTATAAATTGTGGTGAGTGGTGGCTCTTGTTTCCAGCACTAGGACGAGCTGGAAAGCCTACTGTTAGGCGGGTACAGTATAGGATAAGTTGGTTTAATAATTGCGCCGGCCCAAGTTAGCATTTGGGCTCCTAATTTTGAGTAGTAGTTTAAATAGTTAATTGGTGAAGTTTGTTTTTGGATTCACGAATTAAAAGAAATGTTAGCGTAAATTTACGGAGAATTTGCTCCCAATATGGGGATTCCCTCCCAATACGTGAATTTGCGCTCTAAGAGAGACAACGTTAGTCCCAGCAGGCGAATCTTGTGACTAAGAATCCTTCTCCTCCTCAACTTCAATGGATATTTTGTTTTTTTGATCTCAACGTCAAATGTTTGTAGATTACTTTTTTTCTTTGAGGCCTAGGCATTGTGAATCCTGAACACGTCATTTGGATTTTTTTTTTTTCAAAAAGTACTTGGATTGGGAAAATGAGTTTGAAATTACATAAGATGTGGGAAGAAAAGTTTTGGGAGGCATAAGATCCTTAAAAACCTCTGGTTTTACGTCTGGTTAGTTTTGAAGAAAATTTTGATTGTATGATGATCCAAACCATAGAGGGGTAATTTAGGGAGGAACGAGGTAAAGGGAAAGTTTAGGGTAGAAAGCACTTGGGTTTCTTGAGTTTTGATGAAAATGGAAAATGACGAAGATCCTTTAACATTTTAAAAATGATCCATTTGCACGTGTAGCATATGAATTTCCTCTGCTAGATAGATACTAATAAATCTAATGATAATGCCATTAGTAAAAAACATTTAAATATTTTTTAGAATAATTTTTCAATGTAAGACTAAGGCTGCTAAGACAATATTACTCTCCCGAAATATATAATGGTCAAATGACAAGGCAGACGACGGAACCTCAGGACAGTGCCATATAAACCGAAGTCCCACTTACGATTCCTTGAGAAGGAGTGACTACCTATAAGAGCTTTGACCAACCACAACCGATCAATTTCGCTTTGGGGCTATTCCTTACTCTACCATTATTATAGGTGTATGGGGTTCAAGGCAAAGAAAGATTCAGGCCGCATATCATTGGAAAGCTAAAGGTGGCCTAGGCCCAGTCCAGCCAAAGAAATGCACCCACCATGGACTGGCCTAGTGGGAGGAGAAGCTAGTCTATAAGCCCTTGGGCACAGGATGGTCCAACCGAAACAGGCCACTGATTATCTGCATTTTTGTAACAGAATTGTCTGTTCTATTGCTCTTTCAATTTTCTCCCTGTGATGAGTGTAAGTCAAACTGTCCTACTCTTTAAATATGAACACTAAGAAAGAAATAATGCACAACCACTTTATTGATAGAGATTGTTATGTATAGCCCAAAGCCAAGACAATGATTTGCTACATAAAAATAAAATTTCCTTAACTTTCTTTCTCATTGTTGGCATCATGGTGTTTCCTTACAAAGATATTGTCTCCAAGGCCTCAGTGGTTCTAATCACCAGCCTCTGGTTGCTCAGTCTAAGTATTGAAGCTGCTCCTCCTGTCTATCTTTTTCATATTTGTGGCTCCAACACAACTATTTACTCTCCTAATAGCACCTTTAAATCCAATCTCAATCTTCTCCTCTCTAATCTTTCTTCTAACAATACACCCAACAACTTGTTTTATAATGCAACTACTGGCCGTGGTCCTCCAGGTGCGGCTTATGGCCTGTTTCTATGTCGAGGTGATGTTACCATTAATGCCTGCCATGATTGTGTAGTGAATGCCAGTCAAGAGATAGTCCAAAGATGTACCACGCACAAAGTGGCCTATATTTGGTATGATCAGTGCATGCTACATTATGATAACAGGTCTTTTTTTGGGACCATGGAAGGATCACCTAAGGTGTATATGTGGAATACGAAAAATATCACAGAACAAGATCGGTTTACACAGGTGCTGGGAGATACTATGGATGGATTTGCAACTCGGGCCTTCGAGCGATCGATCTTTAAATGATCAACATGTCAAGGGTTTGCGACTGGAGAGGCTAACTTCACAAGTCTTCAGAGACTATACAACCTAGTGCAGTGCACACCAGATTGATCCGGGGCTGATTGTAATCTGTGTCTTCGGATGGCTATTGTTGATCTGCCAAAATGCTACAATGGAAAGCAAGGTGGGAGAGTTTTGCAACCAAGTTGTAATATTAGATACGAGATATACCCATTCTACGAAATCAAAGCCACAGCTCCGTCACCTTCACTGACACCTCCTCCTCCTAGTCCTCGTCCTCGTTCTCCTCCTCCAAATTCCTTGACAAGTCCTCGAGGTAAAACTTCGAAGCACAAGCCTAAATAGGTGAATTATCGAGTACAAGGTAGAGAATTCTTCTTTCGTGGTACATATAGTAGATTGCATATCATGTTGATTTTTTTGGGGTCTTAATAGTCGGAGGCATGGGGAAGTATGGGATCCATGGTCGGGCAGAAAATCATCCCAATTCATTGATCTCTCAGTTTGAGAAACGGGATAACATTTTGTTGAGTTGAGTCGAGTGATATGAAGTAGCTCTATGGTTTTTGACCCGTAGCTATTAAGCTTATGTGACAATTTATTATTGATGGTTATTGCCTTAACATTTTAGTTGAGTAATTGTTTTTGATTTCACAGGTAAAGGGAAACTCTCATGAGAAGCAATTATTGCCATTGTAGTCCCAGTAGGTCTGTCTATGGTTCTTTTGGCCATAGGTTTCTGCCTCCTAAGTAGGAAACCAAGGAGAAAGTACCATGTAGGAGAAGAAGAAAATGGTAAGGATAAAAGACATCATTTATCATGAAATTGTATTGCTTCATGCGATTACCTTTACAGTAGTGTCATTCACAAACTTCAACAATTTTATTGTCTGGTTGTGTAGTTGGGGATGAAATTGCAATATTCTGATAACAAGATAGGTGAAGGTGGGTTCGGTCCGATCTACAAGGTAAGTATTCAGAAGCATCTAACCATGGTAGAAATCTAATTCAAGGATTTCAGAAGCTCTAGAAGTTGAGATACAAAACACTAATGCTATTAGGACATAATTGAAAGACATAATTTGGGGACATAATGAGTTGTCACCAATAAAATGATGGTGAAATGTATTTAATGATGGGTCCCATTGTAGAATTAATGAATTTATTATCATATTATTGATAACAACTCATTATATCCTCAAATTATGTCCATAAATTATGTCACAATAGCATTGCTCGATACAAAAATGCATGAACATAGTTTAATTAGTTAACTCAACTCATAAAGATTTCATCCCAACTATTTGGGTTTGGGGTCGATTCGTGTTTCTCTACTGTTCTTTTGAATATTTTCATTAGTTGTAACTCCCATTTGCATATGGCAAGGTATCCTTGCTGATGGACAAGAAATAGCAGTGAAGAGGCTATCCAAAACCTCTGGTCAAGGTGCTGCAGAATTTAAGAACAAGGTTGTTTTGGTGGCCAAACTTCAACATAGAAATCTTGTAAGGCTTTTGGGGTTCTGCCATGAAAGAGGGGAAATGATGCTCATATATGAATATGTTCCCAACCATAGCCTTGACTGCTTTCTGTTCGGTTAGACCCTACCTAAACACACCCTTTGAATTCAGCTTCTTGATTGACACTTTCTCTAATCTTCACAAGATGAACTTAAAATTTGTGACATCTTCAACACCCAAATCTTGTGAAAAGTATGCCATAAAAGTCTTAAGAACACTGAAAATTGCATTAAGATCAAATACTGGAGAGCTAAGAGTATTGCAAGACTAGCAATAAACACTATACAATATTAAAAATTGAACTGATCTTGTAATATTTATATTTTAAATAATAATTTGACTATTTTAATTACGCAATTTAAAATTAAAATGAAGAGAGATGTAGATATGGATTGATAGATTTGTTTGACTTGGGGAGTGTATTGATTGAGTTGTTTTGCATTTGAAGTCTTGCAGAGAAGTTGATGAGTTGATTTTTTAGGGAGGGAAATTTTTTTTAAAATGAATTGTGTACCATTAAATCAAAGTACGTTGATGAATGTTGGTTAAATCTTGACTTTTGTTGTATTTTTATAAGTTAATAATTTAACTTCTGTAATATTAGATAAATATAGTGTTTTTTAAGAAGTTGCACCATCTATTTTGTTTGAATTATTTCATTGCCTGTTTAAATCTAGCTCCTTGTTTTTAATTTTATGAAAATAGATTGGGAAAAGCAAGGACATTTGGATTGGTCACAACGTTACAATATTATAGGAGGGATCGCCCGGGGAATTCTTTACTTACATGAAGATTCTCGACTTAAAATTATACATCGCGACCTCAAAGCTAGCAATGTACTATTAGTTGGGCCTATGAATCCAAAGATTTCAGATTTTGGCATGGCGAAAACATTTGGTGTGGATCAATCTCAAGGAAATACTAGTAGAATCATTGGAACATAGTAAGTTTCTCAACACTCAGTCTTCTTCTTTAGAATTTATCTATATCAACAATCAGCTATTGCTTCATCCCAATTAACCAAATGCTAAAAGAAAAAAATAGAAAAAAAAAAGGTCATTTGGATTCTTCAAAATTGCAACTTTTTTTTTTTGGTAAGTAAAATTGCAACTTAAAGCTTCTATGGCGATTTTAATTTTGTTTTGTTTTTTTCAATTGTGAGAGGTGTTATGGCGATTAAAGCTTCTCCTTAATCTGGTGAATGACAAGTCATTGACGCCAAAACTAAGATATTGATGAGGAATAATTCCTCCAAGGCCTGGCCTCAAAAAGTTGCCAAGTTTCGAACTCAAGATGTCTAATTTTTCTTTACTCAATATGATTGCTTACAAAGATATGAACACTAATTCAAATTTTAAGTGACTTTTTGTCTTTGAACTTTCATAATTTAGTTGCAAAAATAGGTCTATCTCTTGTTTATTGGGTCTCCTTCGTCTTTTTTGGCAGCCTTAGAAAGAACAAGTTGCATAATTAATTTTTTTTTGAGTAGATATTTCTTTTATATTTTTTGTTATAAAATTAGCAATATAATATATAAATAACTATGTGGTTCTTGCTTGTAGTGGTTACGTGTCTCCAGAATACGCAATGCATGGACAATTCTCTGTGAAGTCCGACCTGTTTAGTTTCTGTGTATTGGTACTGGAGATTATAAGTGACAAGAAAAACAATACTTTCTATCAATTAGATGGAGCCGAGGGCCTTTTGAGCTATGTGAGTGTAAACCAAATATCCAAAAAACGTGTTTTTTAAGTCAAAATCAATGGTGAATTACTCCGAAATAGTTAACATCAAAGAAAATTTGTTTGTAGGCTTGGCAACATTGGAGGGGTGGGACAACCTTGGAGTTGGTGGATCCAATTCTGGCAGATTCTTACTCAGGAAATGAAGTCATTAGATGCATACATATTGGTTTACTGTGTGTACAAGAAGAAGTAGATGACAGGCCAACCATGGCCTCTATGGTGCTCATGCTCAGTAGCTACTCTGCTACCCTACCGATGCCTCGAGCACCTCCATTCTTCTTCCGCAGCAGAACTGAAGCAAGTACATCAACAAAGGGGCTGGAGTCTGATCAGTCCACAAGCAAGTCAATGCAATTGTCTGTGAATGAAGTTTCCATTACTGAGCTATACCCTCGATAAAAAGGATAGTCGAGCACACGAGACTAAACTCCACTAGTTTTGGATTGTTAGATAAGATATATCCTAAGATAGTATGGGAAAACAATGAATATTTTTATCCTAGTATGTAATTTGAGTTCAACAAGTTTTAGCATCTTTATATACTCTATTAATGGAAGTTGTGGCATTAAGCTATCTACAGTGAGGTTATGGATTTGAATTGTAAGTAATAATTTTGTACAAACAATGACAAAGTTTATGTTTGTATCTCATCTACTCCTCCCAACACTCCTCGATCAAGGGGTATGTTACTTATTGACCCTCTTTTATTCACAAAGTTGTATGAAAAACTAAAATAGAGTTAACTATCTATTTATTCCAGTAAATTATATTATTTGTGTTAATTTAGTCCTTGAATTATGTTTGTGTCTGACTCAATGTAACCTTTTTGTTTAAATTTACCGTTAATTTTGATTGAAATCCTCGAGTGCACATCACGCGATTTCTGAACTATAACTTAATATTTGACTCATGTGATGCGACGTGAGAGTTTTCGTCAAAATTAAGAGTGAACTTTGACAGAAAGGCCACTTTGACTCAGATTAAATAGTTCAAAGGCTAAATTAGCACAAAACATAGTTTAAGGACTTGGCAATTACAAAAGAGATTTCTTCTAGTCATTGACAATTGAACTCGTTATCTCAGTCCATTCATGATAAAATTCAAATCCTGACGTTTGCTAGTGACTCTATGAACATTTGAGTGGACTGTTTTAAAAAGACGTTAGATTGGATATGTGATGGGGAATAGGTATAAAGAAAGATATGTGATAAGGAAAAAAGTAATTGTGTAATTGCAAGTAAATGGAGATATAATTTATGCGGGTCAATTCGTATTCAAACTAAAATATTCAATATTTTGGCCAAAATTAAAAAATCGACAACATTAGGTTAAAGAACATGGATTTAATTCGAATTGAAAGTTCTATAATATAGATTAAATTTGGTTGATTTCTCAACCCTTCTAAGCTATTCCAATTGAATCTTAGAAATAAAAAGTAATTCTTATTTTAAATATTGAGCTTCTATCATCTTTGACAAGATGCCTTTTTTTTCCTCTGATAAATGGGTCTACTCCTATGTCAATACCGCATTAATCAGACTAAATGAAACAGGTGGTCCAAATATGCGCGACCGTCATTCTAGTTGCCCATATTTTCTCTTAGACCGGTTCCTCTGTCCTATGCTTGACTTGATCACGAGTCAGGATGACTTGCATTTATGACTCAAGACAAGTAGATTTTTCTTAGCGTGTTCCATAGTTTTAGTCTCCATATTTTGTGGCTGTCAACAAAGCAAAG